ATCACAGAATTCCTACAGTGTGGAAGCAGGCCATTCAGCCCATCGTGTCCATACTGACCCTTCCAAAGAGCATCCTGCATGGTCCCATGGCTAACCCACCTAGCCTGCACATCCCTGGACACTCTGGGCAATTTAGCATGGCCAATCCACCTAACCTGCACTTTGGACTGTGGGAGGAAACTGAAGCACCAGAAGAAAGCCGCACAGACATGGGGTGAATGTACAAACTCTATTCGGCCTGAGGCTGGAATTGAACCCGGGTCCCTGGTGCTGTGAGGCAGGGCAGCAGCGCTAACCACTGAGCCATGATGCTGTAATTTCTTCTGTCAGTGAGTAGTATTTTCAAGAAGGAGGTAAGTAGAATTCGGAGGGCTAAAGGAATCAGTGAGTTTGGGGAGAAAGTACTTAATTTAATGATAAGCCATGATCGTATGAATAGTGGAGCAGACTCGAAACGTTGAATGAGTGACACCTGTTCCTGTAGTCTATGTTTTATGTTTCTCTGTGTCTGCTGCTCTGTCTTATGGTTTCGGTTTGAAGTCAAGTAGACTTTGTAGCACAGACTGAAGAAAATAGCTTTGGTTTTGTTGGTATTTAATAGAGGAAGTTTCTGCTCATTTCGGACTGGATGTTAGACAAATGATCTGACAAATTAAAGTAAGTGTAGGGTTTGAAGTTGAACTTGGAGTCATCATGGTGCATCTGAAATTTGCTGTTGTGATTTTGGACGATGTTGTTGACAGGCAGCATGTAGATGAGAAGTAGGGGAAGGGGATTATTGGGGAACTGCAGTAATGAAAAGTGAAGCCATTGCATGTGATTCTGAGGCTATAACTAAATGAGCCCATGCAGCTGGATGTTGGAGGAGGAAGGTGTGATTACCCATGCCAAAAATTGCAGGAACGTGAAGGGATAGTGATATATAGGATATCACTTGTAACTTCGAATACTATGAAAATCTGAATTAAAATATGGAGAATGAGGTTCTTGTTGGTCCTGGGCTAGTATCACATCATTTTCTTTTGCAGTTTTTTGGAAGCATTTATTCCATTTTATTTTCCCTGTTGCTCACTTTCTCAACTCTCATTTGTGAGGGTACCTCGGTCAAGGCTGTTAACATCTTTGGAGATATTTATCCCAATCTTATGTCAATTTCCTATTCAATTACTTGGAAAAAGTGTTGGACCGTGTGGTTCTATATAGTAGAGCCATGTATATCTCATAGTGAGGTTGATGGTGGAATGCTGCTTTTATGAGTCTTCTCCAGCAACTTGTGATACCTTAAGATTTGCAAATCTCTTCCATTCCACAATTGGCTGGCTGATCAGCATGTTAATAATCATGTGCTTCTAAACGTATTTTTCAGTAAGTTATGACCCAATATATTTCTGAAGTTGGTTCCCCCCCACCCCATTGTTTCACATATTGAACACTTATTAAGTTTCAAATATTTCATTTTCTAAATTGTTTCTGAATCTTGTTGATATGCATGCATTTATTTGTTTTCATTATTGATGTTTTAAATTCCTTGTTTGGTTATATGAAAAGCAGTGGTAGTTTTATGTTAAATTTAAATAGGTTACCTCGAGTGTATTGTCTGTTCTTTGCAGGATGCATACTCTTTAAACATTTTGTGACGAAACACAAGTAACTAACACAAGTCCATTCTGAACACTTATCATTTTTGAATATTTGGATTTAGATCCATCAATTGTTTAAAAACAAACTCATGGAAGAATTCCCAGCAAAGAACTGCAAAGTTTGTTTGCCAATCTCACTGTTTGAGATTATGTTTGTTGCAGATATCAAACAGATTAACCTGATGCTGGTGCTGTACAGTGTTAGCAACACAAATTTGGAAAATGTTCAGACACTGATGATTTTGATGTAAATGTTCCCACCTTCAATTTACCACTATAATTACAGCAAGGGCAGCACTTTTACACTGTCACTATAATAATTATACAACAGCGTAACTGTTTAAGAGAGAATTCCAATCCCTTTTTTGTTTCAAGAAGAGTTAACATTTCCAAGAACTAATTCAGCTGTTGCTCAAGCGTTTTCTATGAATGGCATATCAGTTTCTCTCAAATGTTGCTTCATATTTCACAAACTAGATTGCCACTAGATGAGATAGAAGAACAAAGGGATTGTGTGGGAAACCCCTGAGAATCTGGCTTTAGTTTGAGATGGATGGAATTGAAAACTAGGGAAGTCATACTTGACCACATTTAAGAATATTGCATGCGGTTCTGGTCACAAAATTTAGACATCATATAGATGTAATGAGAGAATTCAGAGAAGATTTACAATGATAATTCCAGAAATGAATAGCTACTTCTATAAAGGGTGAATAGGTTGTGTCTCTTTTCCCTTGAAAGTCAAAGGCTGAGGATGACATAATAGGAGTCTGCAAAATTTTGAAAGGATTTGATGGAGTGAATACAGAATGATGATAGAATTGTTATTGTGTAAAAGGAGGCCATACAGCCATCATATTGCACTGGCACTCTCAAGCATTTTAGATTAGTGCCATTTGCCTGCCTTTACCCTGACACCCATGCACATTTTTTCTATTCAAATGATCATCCAGTGCCCTCGGGAATACCTCAGCTGGCTGTGTCTTCATCATACTTTTGGGAAATGCCTTCCAGACAGAAACCACTTGAGTGAAAAAAAATCTCACATTTCATTTGCTATGTGTGCAAATCATTTTAATCTGCACCCTCTTGTTTTCCATTGGTTTTACAAATGGGAACAATCTATTGCTCTATTCAGATTTCTCATGATTTTTGTAAACTTTTATCAAATCTCCTTAGCCTCCTTTCCTCCGACGAGAACAGTCCCAACCTCTCCAATCCATCCTCATAACTTGAGTTTTATATCTCTGCTTTATGTTGGCTGGCCGGGTGTGTTTTCTAATAATCCCTCTTTGCTTCTTTAATGTGTTTTCTCTCTTCCCTTCTGAACTTCTGTATTCCTCTTTGTTCTTAATTGCATCATCTACCTGGTGCCTGTCGTAAGCACACTTTTCTTTATTTAACTTTCTTTCTCCTTTTTTGTCGAAGAAGCCCTCCCTTTGCCTTTTGAAGGAGTATGCCTTATTTGTATCCAAACCATCTCCTCTTTAAAGGCAGTCTATTGTTCAGCTACAAATTTTCCTGGCAGCCTGTTGTTCCCATCTATTCTTCCCAGCTCTGTTCTTGCCCCATTGAAGTTAGCTGTCCTTCAGTTAACTAGTCTTACTCTGGATTGCTTATTGTCCTTTTTTTATCATCTTTCTAAATCTTAAGACACAATGATAGTTGATCTACTTGGCTCGTATCGTTTACAAGAATCAGCGCAACTGTACGTCCTTTCTAGTTGGACTGGACACGTATTGATGTAGAAGATTTTCCTAAGTTCCATCTCAGTCCGTTGGCCATTCTCTGCCTTTAACGCTACCACAGTCCCAATCTACGTTCGGGTAATCAAGGCCCTCTGTCACAAGAAGTCTATAATGTTGGCATCTATTTTTGTAATTTCTCAGCAGATTTGTTCCTGTACATCCTTCCCACTAATTGGTGATATATAATTTCACCCATTTTGTTCCTTAGCTTTAGTTAGGTTCATTCTGACCTTGAACCCTCTGGGACATTCTCTTTCTGCCATACTTCAATGCTGTCCTTAAAAGACCATCATCCTTCCTCCTTTCCTTCTTTCCCTATCACTGTTCTGAACATCTTGTACCCAGGAATATTTAAAACCCAGTCCTGCCATTCCTTGAGCCAGATCCCACCATCCTATTTCCAATTAACAATCTGCACCTGTAACTCCCCAGTCTTGTTTACTATATTCTGTGCATTCACACTGATTTAGATTTCATTGCTTTCTCCATTACTTTGACTTCACCGATTTGGCTTCAGTATCACCTGCATATTAGTGCTATCTGTGTTTCTAAGTATTTTGTGCACTCTGGTATTCCTCTCTAATTCTCTATCTTGGTTCCCATCCCTTGCCAAGATAGTTTAACCAAGACAAAGATATTTTCATTTTTGAAAATTGCTAAAAATTGTAAATATGAGGTGACCACCAAGAAATCCAATAGAGAGTTCAAAGAATGGTGAGAATGTGGAACTTGCAGGGAGTGCTTGAAATAAATCGTGTGGATCAATTTAAGGGGAAGTTGAACAGGCACATGAAGCAAATGTGACTAGAAGATTATGATAGATTAGATTAGGAAATATGGTTGGAGGCACAAGTGTAGCATAAACAACGGCAATAACCTGTTTCTGTGTCATAGCTCCCATGTATATAATCTCGTTAATGTCAATGAAAGGATGAGTAGGACGGTGAATATATGAGATTGCTTCAGAGGGTGCACAGAAGATTTACCAAAATGATTTCGAGGATGATGGATTTTTATCTTCGAGGTTAAGATGGAGAAGTTGTGGTTTTCTTTCAAGGAAGATTGAGATTTGATATTCAGGGAAGATTGAAGTTATAATAGTTGATGTAGACAAAGAAAAGTGCCCCTGTCAAATGATGGTACAAGGATTAAAGGACATAGATTTAAGATTTTCAGCAATGGATTTGGGGAGATATGAGAAAGAACTGTCTTCCACTACTCATTGTAATGATCTGGAACTCGGTACCCATGAGGTAGGTTGAAACAGAGACCATGAATGATTTCAAAATGAAATTGGATGACTTGCTTGAGCAAAAACTTACAGGGCTATGAGGACAGTGATAAATGGGGCTGATTAGATTGCCCCTGTGAGAGCCGGCGTGGATGCAATGGGAGGAAAATTGTCCTGTTCTGTAATAACTGTATTATCAGTGCTGTTCTATGATTATCCAAGTTTTGAATCCTGTTAATTTTGTTCCTATCCTCCAATTTTTTACTCTTACAATATGTGCCCAATTGCAGCTTGAATAGATAACTTTCAGATGCAAGATTCAAATGTTTGTTTCTATAAAACCTTTGCCATTTCTTTTTACACCATTTTCTTTCAATTTAGATGGTGGAAAACCAGTTTATTCTGTCCTTCATGCATCGCTTTCTTGAATATCGTGGAGCAACAACCTACTTTGCATTTTGCTTTCCATTCACGTACTCTGAGTGTCAAGAGATGTTGGCGCAACTGGATGAAAAGTTTGAATATTGTAAACACCTGACTATGAGGAGGTAGGGTGCAGTCTGTGAGCTTCGACTGAGTACCTTGTGTAATTAGCTTTCCTAATGATTTCCATGCAAATATAGTTGCAGTTTAAGAAACAACTTGTATTTAGCTTTCGTTGAAGTGTAAGTTGAAAACTGGAAATGCACTGCTGTTGTTCACTTCAGTGAGCTTGCTTCCTATTAGTTCATGTTCAGGAGGGCCATATGAATGTTGTGAGGATCTGGTAACTGGAGATATTTTCAGAAATACACATAAATGAGAAGTGAAACTTGGTCATATTTTAAAAATACCTGCCAATATTTTCCACAGATAAAGTATAGCTTATTTACCAATTCCTGAGGATTACCAAAATGAAGGGTATTCAGATACTCATTAGAACAACTATATTGAAAGGTTGCATCTTGATATTTGAAGAACTTCAAAAAAGTAGGCAACAACTTTCATTTATTTTAGTCAATTGTTTCTTGCCTTGCATTATTAACTTAAAATTAATATATTATGCCTTTTAAAGAAGCAAGGTTAAGGGAGGCCTGATATTCTTTGGCCACAAGAGTACATGAACACCAACCAGCAACAAAAAAACACGACCAACACTCGCTCATCTCCATTTACGTGGATAAGGAGAACCACCAGTTCGACTGGGACAACACTAGTGTCCTAGGACAGGCCAAACAGAGACAAGCACAGGAATTCCTAGAGGCCTGGTTCTCCACCAAGAAGGCCATCAACAAACGCATAGAGCTAAACTCTATATTTACACCATTGTGAAGGAAAACCGGAAATGAGGTAATCAACTCCAATGGACCTCAGAGTTTAAATACCAGGTGGGAAAACACAACAGCGCTTCATCAGAGGCTGCACTGATGATGTTACCCAGCAGGATAATGAAACGTCTGCAAACAAGCGAACCAGCTCGGCGAGCAAACCTACCACAACATCCACAACACGAACTACAAATCTAGTCAAGAACCTTAGCGATATTCTTTGCCTCAACTTGTAAGCATTGTTTCCTACTATTGCTCCTGGTCTTTAATAAATAAAACCTTCCTAGCCAATTTCAATCATGGCTCAGTGGTAGCAATCCTACCACTGAGCCAGGAGATTGAGGATTTAAGTTCTATTCTAGAGATTTGAGCACGTTATTCAGACTGATTGTCATTGAAGTACTGTTGGATTAGCGTACCATCTGACAATAAACTGAGGCCCTGTCTGGATCTCAGCATATTACTTTAAAGCAAGGAGGAGATGGCCCCAATAATCTAGCAAATGAAATCTGAATGAACAAGTGAAACAGATTGGCTGGTAATTTTCTCAGTGCTGTTTGTGGTACCCTGTTTAGTACGAATTCGCTACTTATTTCCTACATTAAAGGTAACTGCACTTCAAAAATGTAGATTATACGTGAAGTGTATTAGGAATCACTGAGGTTGTGAAAGATACACATAAGTATATATTTATACAAGACTTTTCGAGGGCAGCAGGTTACTCTGAGTGGGTGAAAGTTGTTTTCCTGCTAACAGGGCAAAATTATGTTTAAGTTTTATGGTGCTGCATTGAATTTGAGGTTTTGTCCCTGCCTGGTGATTGCACACTAAATGTAAATTAGCCAGTCAGACAAATATTTTTGATTGAAGAGGTCAAGCCTGGGGAATGTGAAACGTGAGTTTTATGCCAGAAAGAAGGAATATTATTTACTTCTCATGCAGCAACCTGATATTAGATTGTCAAGTTACTGTCATGTATTTGTGACTATATTAAAGACTGATGTGTGTATATTAGTTGAATGTTGGACATGTGAAATCAATAAGAAATAGTTATTCTACAAACATTTTGAAGATTAGGGGTTTGGTGATATAAGTATTAGGAACTAGATAGGTGATTAATGTAATTTTGGTAAGATATTGAGGAGGGGTACTAGGGGATTGATGTTGGGGTTTCTGTTGATTTGAATGTGTAAATGATCAGAATTCAGAAAAGCACCATATGCTGCTCAATTTTGCAGACGCTAAATTAGGCACCAAGAAATCGCAGATGGTGCTGGAAGAAAATTTCAGTGGGTGGAACTATGGTCAGTCGAATTCAATATAGACATATGGAAGATACTTCACATTATAATAATAGTGGAAATATTGAATAGTGCTGAACCAACTAAGGGGATGACGAAAGACCTTGTGGGAGTAAGGATGGATTCAATACTTGCCATCTCCATTGCAGAGTAGTAAAGCAAACAATAAAAACCAATAATAGTGATAATATCAGTGAAAGCAGGGAAATTGCAGACCTGCTGAATAATTAGTGTGAATCAGAATTTGCAGTTGAGGAAGAAGCCAGCATTCCAGATGTCCGAAGCAAACCTCCATCGGACCAGGGTTAGAGACTCTGCAGAATTAACGTGAGCAACAGAACAAATAAAGAAGAAAATATTAGGAAAGAGAGAGAGAGATAACCAAGATCAGATGATTTCAATCTCAGGATTTTAAAGGAAATAGCTTAGAGCATTGGAGATGCTTGAGCTATAATCGTCCAAAGTTTCTTATTTCATTCTTCTATTTAAGAGTGAGAGAGAGAACCCAGGGAGTTATGGACAAGTTTTATGAACATCTGTTGTCGGGCAAGTTTATAATTAAGGACAGAATGACTGACTGAAATGGCAAATTTTCAGGTCTACTTGCCCGATGAATCTGATTGAATGGCTTTTAAAAGCTAACTGCAGTGGACAGAGAAATGTCTATAGTTATTTACTGAATATTTGCTAAAGTCCCTCGTAAGAGGCTTCTAGCTAATGGAGTTCCAGACAATGGCTTAGTGGTATTATCGCTGGACTGTTAAACCAGAGATCCAGGTAATATTCTGGGGACCCAGGTTTGGCAGTTGGTGAAATTTGAATTCAAGAAATGTCTGGATTTGAGAGACTAATGATGACCATGATTCCATTGTCGATTGTTGGAAAAACCCCTCTGGTTCACTAATGTCCTTTAAGAAAGGAAACTGCCATCCTTACCTGGTCTGGCCTGCATATGACTCCAGACCCACAACAATGTGCTTGACTTTTAACTGCCCTCCGTGTAATTAGGGATGGGCAATAAATGCTAGCCGAGCCAGTCATGCCCTCATCCCGTGAATTAATTTAAAAAAAAACAAATTACTGACCAGGCTAGTTGGAAAGTCAGGAGACAGGATAGTGATGATGACCAGGTACTCTAATTGGAAAGATTTGACTCATGTTGTCCAACGAGGATCTGCTTTGGGATCTCAGCTATTCATCGTATTTATTGATAACTTGGATGTATGGAGTTGGATCACAGGTTGTCCATCATTTTTTTTGGACAGCAGAATAGGCATTTACTGCTCTTTTTACTTTCCTGTGCCCCTAAATCATATTGCCCAGCCCCATGTGCACAGGATGTTTTCTTTATGAATCCTTTAATGAAATTTACACCCCCCCCCCAACCCCTGTTCAATTCCAACAACTGCCAAAGTTAGATAAGTTGTGGGTAGGAGTTCTGTGCTATACATAGAGGTTTCTTCACACGGTTCTCAAGAACAAGGAGGAACCAGACATGGACAAAGGAGGCCACTCTCTTCTCTTTACATCTGGAGGTGCCAAAGATACATATATTATTGTGATATCCTTGAATGTCCATTTTATCTATTTTGGCACTTCCCCATCTCTTCTTCTACAGAAGATGGATTATTTAGTCTTATTTTCAGACATGGAACCGCTGTGCACTTCAAAACAGCATAAATGTAGGCGATTGGGCTATATCTTGAATATTCTGAACAAATAACAGGAATATTCAGTATGGTTTTTAGATGTATACCTGATGATGACACATGTTGAGAGGAGTCTGTCTCTGATGAGGACTTGAGTATTTACAATGCTTCATATGAATTGTGTTTTGATCCTGCAGGATTCGACAAAGGAATTTCTGATGTGATGCTATTTTCATTTTCAGTTTCATGGGGAGGATCTTCATTGGCTTGGTACTGCCCTGGCAGTTGCCATGTTGATCTGAAAATGTTTTTGTGCTTTTGTAGATGGGAACACCAGTCTAATTAATAGTTTCAGATTTGTCAGCTTGGTAGATTATTGATTCGGTCTTGCAGCGGGCTTTGTGGAGATCATTGATTTTTGTGATGGCAATAATCGTGGGTGACTATAAGCTGCGTCTAAACTAGATTGTCAGTCATAGCCTGGGTGAGGAGTGTATGAAATGCTTTTGAGAGAGTTTCTTGGAAACCATTTTCTGGAACTGACCACAGAGCAGTTATATTAGATTTGATATCATGTAATTTGTCAGGATTATTGAAGGACTGAGAATAAAACCATTCCAAAGTAGCAGAGATCACAATATGATTGAATTTTACATCCAGTTTGAAAGGGAGAAGATTGGTTCTATTAAACATCAATAAGAGCAATAATGTGGGCATGAAAGCCAAGCGAACTGAAGTGAGCTGGCATCTAGATGAGGGGATAGACCTGATGGACACAGTCGCAGACATTTAAGGGGATATTTCAGAATACTCGGAATAAGTATATTCCCTCTATAAAGAAAAACTCTGAAGGGAGGACCTGCAATGTAGTTAACCAAATAAGTTAGAGAAAACATCAAATTTAAGAAAAATGCATTTAACTGCACAAATGAGGTAGGATGCTTGGTCACAATATAAAGAATAACAGAGAATGACTAAAAGGTTAACTGGGGGAAGAAATTCAACTGTGAGAGGAAGCTAGTTAGAAATGTAAAAGCAGATAGCAAGAGTTTCAACAAGCGTTCAAAAAGGAAAAGAGGTAAGTGTTCGTCCTGCAGAGAGTGTCAATAAAAAAAAGTGGATGAAATGAAAAAAAATTGTTATCACTATAGACAGTACAAAAAAAATGCTGAAAAACTGGAGGTGGAAGAGAAGTGGTGCAAAGCAAACTGATTGAGCTGTGGGGATGACAAGGCTTTTTGTGTAGATGGTCTCAACCAATTTCTCAGTGGCTAATTACATGGATCTGTTCTGAAGTAGGGTCATTGGAGCTGAGATGTTAACTCTGATTTCTCTCCACAGATGCTGTCAGACCTGCTGAACTTATCCAGCAATTTCTGTTTTTGTTTCTGATTTCCAGCATTTGCTGTTCTTCATCTCTTTTAAATAGTAGATGTGTTGGTGTTAATTTTCCAAAATTCCCCAGATTCATGAAAAGTTCCATTAGACTGGAAAGTAGCATGTATATTTTAGTATAAAGAATTTTTCCTCATGGGTCAATCCAGAACCAGGAGGCAGCACCGTTTTGAAATTAGGTGTGTCCCTTTTCTCTGTTGAGGGTTGTGCAACTTTGAACACTCGGTCTCAGAAGGCATCAAAGGTGGGTGTTGTTAAATATTTTTAAGGCAGAGGTTAGACAATGGAATCAAGGATTTTGAGGTAGATAGGAAGGTGGAATTCAAATTATAAGCAGATCAGTCATGAATTTATTGAGTAGCTTTGAGGGGCTGAATGGTCTACTTCTACACCTGCTTCACATGTTCTTTCTAATTTGTAGAAGATAGCAATTTTGCTGCCCAGGGCAGTCTTTAGAGTACCTTGCATTTCAGATAGAGGATAAAGTAGGCTGTGTAGTTTTTTTTTTCTCTGATGAATTTCTCTCAGTACTGTATAAAACTCTCAATCAGCAGGATGCAAAATTGCTTGATTTAGGTATGCAATAATTGATTTAAAAGACCAACAGTTCCGGTAAAGATTGCAGATGCTATTACTGCGATCAAAGACATGAGCATATTCTATTCTTTGCTTGCATATATAGTTGAAGGGATTTTGTTTCATCCTGGATTTGCATGCTCTGCCAATTTATGAAATCGCTGAAGAACTAACTAGCTGGGAATTGTAGGTGAGTGCATGGGGAAGATATCTAATGACTTTGATTTTGGAGTTAGCTGAGACCATAAGATCACAAGAAATAGGAACAGTAGAGTAAGCCGTTCGGCTCCTCAAGCCTGCTCCCCCATTCGTTATGATCATGGCTGATCTGACACTCCTCATGACATACCTGTGCCTTTTCCCCATGACCCTTTATTCCCCTATTGATCGAGAATCTATCTATCTCAGCATTAAATATTCATAAGGACTCTAGCCCTACAGCTCTAAAGGAGTTCCAAAGACACTCAACTCTCTAAGAGAAGAAATTCACCCTCATCTTAGTCTTAGGTTGGCACTCCTTAATTCTGAAACCATGCCCTTTGGTCCTAACCTCTCCCATGAGGGGAAACATCCTCTCAGCATTTACCCTGTCAAGGCCCTTAAGGATCCTGTATGTTTCAATGAGGTCACCTCTCATTCCTCTAAATTCCAAAAAGTTACAATCTGTTTAACCTTTGCTCGTAAGACAACCTATCTATACTGGGGATCATCCCAGTGAACCTTCTCTGAACTTTCACCAACTAGTTTGTTTGTTAAAGAAAAATTTATTGGAGTCGTTGTGCCTATGTGGCTAGTCTGTTTATTGTGATAGCTGACTACAAATCTAATGATTCTCATTGATAAAGATCAGAAGGGGTGGGAGAAAATATTTTTGGATGTCAGTTTATTTTTTATTGGACTTCTTTGGCAGCATCTTCTGAGCAGCATTTTAAATTTAAGCTGTAATTTGCTTTTTTTAAAAAAAATGTATGGGGGGTTCTTTACTTTTACTGCCCATCAGTGAAAGAGATGTTAATAGTAGTATTCAGTATCAGACATTTCTAGGTCAGCTATTGAAATGATGAGCAAAGTCCACATTATTTATCCAACATAGTGCCTCCACCCTAACTTCTGAGCGCTGTTGCTTTACCATTGCAAATTTTGTTGTGTCTTCCACTCTGCCAGCCAATGAGTAATCTCTAAGCAAGATCGCCAATTTGTGCTGAATTGAAGATAGTTTTGTGCTGTATACCTGTGCTGAAAAAGAACTGAATTTAGACTGCTCAAACCCATTTTCATATTATCTTTGTGGCTAACAGGCAAGTGGATCTACCATTTTTTCTGTCAGGATTTAAGTTGAGCTCTGATCCCAAATAAAGGGTCAATTTGTAACTTATTGGGGTCCTTCATTTGTAGCTGTTTGTGGCCTTAAACATGAATCTTTGTGTTGGGTATTAGAGCTCCCAAAGGCTACTGGCCAAGACATGAAGGTGGAGTTCTCCTTCAGTTTTCCCTAAAAAAAAAAATTATCTCTTTGCCCTTTCTTTGTACATGGGGAGGCACTTTGATTTAAACATGTACAAATATTCCTTCTTGAAGTAATCTTATGATATCATATATGAGTTTAAATTTGTGAAGAGGTTAACTTGTAACTCGAGCAAATTTCACTTTAGTCCTCCAGATAGTATTTACTATCACCGTGAACCTTTATGTTATTCCCTGGAGAAACGACGTGTTGATCTTATCACCATTACTTCATGTGATGGAATGACAGCAGAATGTGAACCACGACTTGAAAAGCTTTTTCCAGATGATTCCACTCCTCGCCCAAAGCAGTTTCCTGGGAAACAAGTAAGAAAATCCAAAGATTTGTATTCTATGTATGAAGACTTAGCTGACATTCCAGCAATTCTGTTCAAAAGCTATAGTACTGCCAACGTCTTTTTCCTAGGTTGGGGGAGTCCAAAATTGGAGGGTGTAGGTTTATGGTATGAGGTAAAAGATTAAATAGGACCTGAGGGGTAACTTTTTCACATACAGGGTGGTGCGTGTATGGAACAAATTGACAGAAGAAGTGGTGGAGGCGGGTACAATTACATATAAAAGAACCTTGATGGGTATATGAATAGGAAGAGTATAGAGAGATATGAGCCAAATATTGGCAAATGAGACAAGGTCAGATTGGGATGTCCAGTTGGCACAGATGAGTTGGACTGAGCGGTCTGTTTCCGTGCTGTACAACTCTGACTGTATTTACAGATATTGTGGGAATGATTGCTGATAGACAGGAACAGTTTATGATGAAATTCTGTTTTTGGTTTATTGCTGTGGTTAGCTTTTATAAAGAAAAAATTAACTAATCAGGAAGACAGAACATGGAATTTGTTTGGTTTTCATTTTGCTTTTATTTTGATTTTTTTCAAAATTCAGGTAAATTCAGTCAAGTGGTAACTTGACAGTAAAGAAGATAAAATCATTATTTTAAAAATATTCCTATTTCCAATTTAGCGAGCTCTCTACTTTTCAGCTGAGCATTTTTGTAGTCGCAGTAAGAAGTCTAAATTAAGATTTTCTGTTGCATTATAGGCCCAATTTTTATTTAATTTTTGCTGGTCCTCTTATGTAACCAATATTTCACCATGCCACTTCACCCCCTTTCTTCCAGCAGCAGATTCTTAATCTTTATCTTAGTCTTTATCACTGAACTTGTACAGCACTATAATACGTAAAACAAGTTTTTGCTATTCCCTATCCCGACTTTATTGTATTTAATATTGAATGAATGTTCATTCTAGATTCCTCAACTATTGGAAAGTATCTATTTCTGTATACCCTGTATAATAACTTTAACACATTTTGTCAAATCACTTCTTAATTTCCTAAGAGTTTGCCCCTTAGTTATATTTTTTTTACTTGGGCAACATCCTAATGAACCTGTGCTGTTGCCCCTTATTGCTTCAAGATTACTTCTACTGTGTGAAGGAGAAATCTCCCTGCAGGACCCCAACTGTAGTCATTGGAAAAAGTAGCAGGTAGTTGAATAGTTTGCTGATTGACAACAGGATTACTGGAGGTAGAAGCAATGTGTCTGGTACATGGTTTCAATATTCTAAACTTTCTGTTCCTACTGTTTCCAGGTCAAAGATTGCCAGGTTGCATGGGCTATTATTTCTTCTTATGAATATTTATTATCCGAATGTTACCATTGATCATTTACAAGTAATGCAAAATCAGAAACATTTTTAAAAAATGATTATAGAAAACTCAAATGTTTCAAAGCAATTACAAATTTCCAGTATAGTTACTGCTTTCAGGTCAAAGGTCATCGTCAGGTTTCTGTGTCTATTTCTTTCTGCTAATAACATGACTGCATTGATGTCTCTGAATTTAAATATTTCTCTAGAATTATCATTTCCAGTCCAGTGTGACTTTTCTTTGGTGTTCTATTTTTATTTAAGGTTTCACATTGCAGTATTTTGCTTTTAACTGTGGACAGAATTTTGGACTTTCTGGCTGATCTGTATGAACTTGCTGAGTTGACTGACTTTACTGAAATTATGTAAAGAACCATTATAATACACTTATATTCCTACGCTTGCATTATTTTTCTTTAATTCTGTGGTAGCAATAAATTAACATATTGAGGTCTAAGTTTAAAAAATGTTGAACATAATCTCTAGGTTTAAATTTGGTTTATTCATAGAATTAACCTGAGTAGAAATAGGCCATTTGATCCATTTTTGATAAAAGCTATTCCTTCCCCTCTGCTGTTTCTCCATTGCCATGTAAACTTTTCATTTTCAAGCATTTATCCAAATCTCCTTTAAAATTTTAATTGCATCTGCTTCCAACACCTTTCCAGGCAGTACAATTCACATAGAGCACCACATATTGTTTTTCCTCATACTGCCTATGGTTTTTTTTTTGTAATTTATTGAAATCTATATTCTCTGACTGCTGATGTTTCTGTTTTCATTATTTATTAATGCTACCAAATCTTCTCTACTTTGAGAAGAACAACCCTAGTTTCTCTAGTCTGTCCACGTGGCTGAAGTATTTCGTCCTTGACCCATGATGATGGACAGTTTTACAATATGGAGACTTGACTTTTTTTTGCTTGTTTGGAGTTGTTGCACTGATTATAATTTTTATTTCCAGCCCTTAGCAACCAAAATGAAGTCCTTAGAAGTACAGCTGATAATAGTTTGCTGTCTTAGTATAAACTCAAAAAAAGGTTTTGGTAATTTGTGAAGGAGCTTGAGTGCTGTTCCTGGCTCTACAAAACAACTGTGGGCCATAATTAACTACTGAGCAAAACACAAGTACAGATTTATTTCAATTTTGCATTCCCAGGCTCAAGAATCATCTTCAGTCAAATGAGTTTGTAAGATTTAACAGTACTTTATTTCTGACTGATTGCATAAATTATTTAAATAAGAATTTTTCTTCTGTTCCAGGTGTTTTTCCTCAGCAGTCGAGTACATCCTGGTGAAACTCCCTCTAGTTTTGTTTTCAATGGTTTCCTCGAGTTTATTTTACGTGCTGATGATCTTCGTGCTCGAATGTTGAGACGAATGTTTGTCTTTAAACTTATACCCATGTTGAATCCAGATGGTGTAGTGAGGGGACATTATCGGTAAGCATGCAAATGTTAAGATGTTACTCAACTGCTGCAATTTTGTCTTTGAATACCTAATTCTGCCACCCTTTCCATTGAACCATTGGTTGCAGCATGAAACTAACAAATCACCAGTGTCAGATTCTGGTATGCATTGTATATGCAAACAATTTACTGAACTTGAGGAAACAGTGAGGAAGTGGAATTAATAGGAGAACTTTACCAAAACGGCATGTTTGGTGCAATGGCTGAATACCTTTACCTGTTCTGTTTCAACCTATGTTTTTGTATTTTGCAGGACTGATTCTAGAGGTGTGAATTTGAATCGTTTGTACTTGGATCCAGATTTTAATTTGCACCCTTCAATTTATGCGGCACGTGCAGTCATCCTGTATCATCATGTTAACAATCGTGTGTCTTTGGCCAATTGTGACTGGAAAAAGTTCACTTCATTGTCACCCAGTAGTCCTTTATGCACAAAAGATTTGAACCATTCCATCAATACGACTTCTACCTCTCTTGAGACCACTCTATCAGAGTTGGAGAAAAGCAAAAATATAAAAAACTTTGAAAATGGGGAAGTAGATTGTTTAATTTCCTGTAAAGATCCTGACCATTCAGATTCATTAATTCAAGACAAAGATAACAATGGACAGCCACTTTCAGAAACACGCTATGGAAAAGCTGTTTCATTGAGTGGTGATGGTACACTTTGTGAGAAGGCAACTGATAGTTTTGACTCTTCAGAAACTGTTGAGCACATTCCTCCTCATGAAAGTGGAATTGCATACTATGTGGACTTGCATGGCCATGCTTCAAAGCGGGGTTGTTTTATGTATGGAAATTCTCTTCCAGGTGAAAATAACCAGGTTAGTATTCAGTGTATTAGTGTTTGACGAATACCAAGACTAGCACATTTAATCTGAGTAGATAGTGATTTTATTGCATTCCAACATAAAATATAGGCTGAATTGTTACTATTACAGTTTCCTTGCATTTCATGATGGACCGTAGTTCTGTAAGTAGATTTTATGTGAATACCATCAGCGTACAACAGAACATGATGCCTGATTTCATGAAGATTTAGATAGAATTCAATTTATAATTTTAAAATACAATTTAGATAAAAAGACAATGTTGTCGAGGAGAATACTGAGATACAGGCTATTAGACTAGACGGGATTGAGGTTCATAAGGAGGAGGTGTTAGCAATTCTGGAAGTTGTGAAAATAAATAAGTCCCCTGGGACGGATGGGATTTATCCTAGGATTCTCTGGGAAGCGAGAGAGGAGATTGCAGAGCCTTTGGCTTCGATCTTTATGTCGTCATTGTCTACAGGAATAGTGCCAGAAGACTGGAGACTAGCAAATGTTGTCCCCTTGTTCAAGAAGGGGAGTAGAGACAACCCTGGTAATTATAGACCAGTGAGCCTTACTTCGGTTGTGGGTAAAGTGTTGGAAAGGACTATAAGAGATAGGATTTATAATCATCTAGAAAGGACTAACTTGATTAGGGATAGTCAACACGGTTTTGTGAAGGGTAGGTCGTGCCTCACAAACCTTATTGAGTTCTTTGAGAAGGTGACCAAACAGGTGGATGAGGCTAAACCGGTTGATGTGGTGTATATGGATTTCAGTAAAGCGTTTGATAAGGTTCCCCATGGTAGGCTATTGCAGAAAATACGGAGGCATGGGATTGAGGGTGATTTAGTGGTTTGGATCAGAAATTGGCTAGCTGTAAGAAGACAGAGGGTGGTGGTTGATGGGAAATGTTCATCCTGGAGTTCAGTTACTAGTGGTGTACCTCAAGGATCTGTTTTAGGGCCACTGCTGTTTGTCATTTTTATAAATGACCTGGATGAGGGCGTAGAAGGATGGGTTAGTAAATTTGCGGATGACACCAAAGTTGGTGGAGTTGTGGATAGTGCGGAAGGATGTTGCAGGTTACAGAGGGACATAGATAAGCTGCAGAGGTGGGCTGAGAGGTGGCAAATGGAGTTTAATGCGTAAAAGTGTGAGGTGATTCACTTTGGAAGGAGTAACAGGAATACAGAGTACTGGGCTAATGGTAAGATTCTTGGTAGTGTGGATGAACAGAGAGATCTCGGTGTCCATGTGCATAGATCACTGAAAGTTGCCACCCAGGTTGATAGCGTTGTTAAGAAGGCGTATGGTGTGTTAGGTTTTATTGGTAAAGGGATTGAGTTTCGGAGCCATGAGGTCATGTTGCAGCTGTACAAAACTCTGGTGCGGCCACACTTGGAGTATTGCGTACAGTTCTGGTTGCCGCATTATAGGAAGGATGTGGAAGCATTGGAAAAGGTGCAGAGGAGATTTACCAGGATGTTGCCTGGTATGGAGGGAAGGTCTTATGAGGAAAGGCTGAGGGACTTGAGGCTGTTTTCGTTAGAGAGAAGAAGGTTAAGAGGTGACTTAATAGAGACATACAAGATGATCAGAGGATTAGATAGGGTGGACAGTGGGAGCCTTTTTCCTCGGATGGTGATGGCTAGCACGAGGGGACATAGTTTTAAATTGAGGGGTGATAGATATCGGACAGATGTCAGAGGTAGGTTCTTTACTCAGAGAGTAGTAAGGGCGTGGAATGCCCTGCCTGCAAAAGTAGTAGACTCGCCAACTTTAAGGGCATTTAAATGGTCATTGGATAAACATATGGATGATAATGGAATAGCTTAGGTTAGATGGGCTTCAGATTGGTTTCACAGGTCGGCGCAACATCGAGGGCCGAAGGGCCTGTACTGCACTGTAATGTTCTATGTTCTAAACTGCTCATTTGACAGTATTTCAGTGCATTTGACGGTGAATCCATATAACTTTAAAAGTGTAACATTTTCTGTCTCCCTGTTAGTTTATTCATGTGCTATCTACATAGGCGACATTTAAATGCTTTCTAAGGTGTGCATATTATTGTAAAAGTTAATACCCTCAGAAATACCCAGGAATTACATCATTGAAACTAACCATTCAACTCAACCAGTCCAATAACACCAACTGTTTGAAATGTTCAGAGGTGCTTCTAACATGAGAGTAACCAGGCAAAATTTGACAGTGAACCACATAAGGTGATATTAGGGTAGGTATCCAAAATCCAGTCAGTGGTAGATATTAAGAGCTGTCATATAGAGGGAAAAAGAGGTGGAGAGAGAGTTGGGTCTATTAAGAGCATGGCTGCTAATTGTAGAGTAATAGAATTTATGGATGCACAAAAGCCCAGAATTGGGAGAATGTAGTGATCTCAGAGCATTATCCCGTTCCCATTCCTTTTTGTTTTCCATGCTCCTTCCTCCCTTTTAGAACTTAATCACTTCTGCTTTCCATCCTCTTACAGACTTTTCCTCTCCCCTTTCTTTGTCTCTGTGCTTGGTTAGCTGCTGTGATCATATCAGTCTTATTCTTGTTACTGTTCAGAATATCTTATTCACCTGAGGGTACAGATCTCAGATACTACTTCAAAGAAGGACACAAACCTCAGGCAATGCACCTTTTTATGTCAGTTGAAACATGAGTAGAGTGTTTCAGCCATTCCATTCACTGGGGATCTAAGTAATTGGATATTGGATCTGAAATTCTTCAATCATCTTCAAAGTTTTAGTTGTCTTTTATAGATTTCAAGCCTCCAGCAAAGTATATATCTTTTTAAATAACATGTTACACTGTCTCTTTCAGTTATTGCTTTCCACATTTAATTATAAATCTGTTAATTCCACGTGATAGAACATTAAAATGGAATCGTTTTTGCTTCTGATTAGGTTGACTGTTATGAGATTATAAGGCATAGGAGCAGGAGTAGGCATTCATCTTAATCAGGCTGCAGTGCCATTCAAAGAAATCATGACTGATCTAGTAATCCTCAACTTCACTTTCCTGACTTTTCCTCATAACCCTTAATTCCCTTATTAATTGAACAACCTGCCTATCTCAGCCTTGAATATATTTAACAATCAGCCTCTAGAGCCATAGACGGGTCAAGGAGGAAGGGATGAGAGGGAGGGTTGAACATGGGATGAGGCCCCCAACGTGGCCTCCTCTGCATCGGTGAGACTAAGCGTAGACTCGGAGACTGTTTCATAGAGCATCTGCGCTCTGTACACGACAAATGACAACACCTTCCGGTTGCCAACCATTTTAAACCCCACTCCCTGGGTGACATGTCCATCTTGGGCCTCTGCAGTGCCGCAATGACACCACACGCAAACTGGGGAGCAACACCTCATATTCCACCTTGGGACCCTACAGCCTGATGGCCTAAACATGGAATTCATCAGTTTTAAAATCTCCTCACCCCCCGGCCTCATCCCATGTCGAACCCTCCCTCTCATTCCCGCCTCCTTGACCTGACACAACCTGTCTATCTTCTCTCCCACCAATCCACCCCACCCATCCCACTGACCTATCACCATCCCACCTACCTTCCCCAGCCCCACCCCTCCTCACTATTTATTTCCCAGCTCCCGTACCCCTTCCCATTTCTGAAAAAGGGTCCCAACCTGAAACGTCAACTTTCCTGCTCCTCTGATGCTGTCGGCCTGCTGTGTCCCTCCAGTTCCGTGCTGTATTGTCTCTGACTCCAGCATCTGCAGTTCTTGCTATTTCTGCCTCTAGAACCAGCTGTGATAAAGAATTCTGCAGATAAACTACTGTCTAAGGAAAGAAGTTCCTCCTCATCTCTGCCTTAAATGGGTGACCCCCTTAGTCTAAGATTATGATCCCTGGTTCCAGACTCATCCACTAGGGGAAACAACTTTTTGCATCTACCTTGTCAAGTCCCCTAAGAATCTTATATTTTTCAGTAAGGTGATTCATATCATTCTGTTCCTTAGCTTTTGCAATCTTTCTCCATTTAACTAATGTTCAACTCTCCTCTATTCTTCCTGTTAAATTGCATAACTTCACACTTCCCCACATTATATTCCACCTGCCAAGTTTTGACCCATTGCTGAACATGTCTGTATATCTCTGCAGACTCTTTTCCCAATAATAGATGTTCAGCTAACTGGCCTATAATTGCCTGTTTTTTTGTCAACTTCCCTTTTTAAATAAAGGTGTTACATTGGCAGTTTACAAATCCTTTGAGACTTTTCCTGAATAGAAGGATTCTTGGAAGATTATTGTCAGTGCACCCACTGTCTCTGTCACACTCAACACAGATTATGTAGAATGCATGTTTTTGGCTGTATCAGCTGAACAGTGTTACTGCTTTTACTTTTAAAAATGCTTTTGCTTCCATGAGTCTAAGTGTTTGCTTCATGTGCTTGGTGACTTTTAAGCCCAATATTCTCAAATACGATAAAATTCTTCCATTTAATAGGTTTGTTGTTTTCATTATCCAAATAGATAGAGAATATGTTGTTTCCAAAACTGATCTCCATGAACTCAGCACACTTTGATTTTACGGCTTGCAATTTCTCTGAGAGGAACATGTATGCCAAAGACAAAAGAGATGGACAGTCTAAAGAGGGAAGTGGGAGAGTGGCAATTTATAAGGCTACAGGAATTATTCACAGGTGAGAGGGTGTTTAATATAGTTTAAATTAGATTTGGTGGAAGGTTTCTATGGTTATACTTCAGATTTTTTTTACCTCAAATTTTATTTAAAACTCTGCAAGAATATTTATTTTTATTGTTTATGTCATGGAAAAGAATGCAAATATTGACAGCTGAAAGGTTTGAAATAATATTCATAATTTTAACTCCAACATTTTTTGCCTTAAAATTTCTTGAATTGAGTGTCCTAATTGTTCTAAATTTTGTTCATAAGTAAATTTTATAATGATTTGGTTCAAAAACAGTGTTTTGACATTAATTTGGCAATTGTTATATTTTCAAAAACTGGTATCTATTCTCAGACACAAATCTGTGATTTGGAAATGTGCATCAAATAAGTTTAGTCCAGGCCATAAATACACCTTCAATTTATTTATATTTCTTTGCTGTTATATACTTACAAGCTTAAAGTCCTAACAAAAATAAATTGTTAGGCAGTGTGACATTTACATTTCTCTTCATAATTCAAAAAATAAATCTGAAGTCTGCTCATTATTCAAAGTCAATTACTTTGTTTGAATTTTCAGGAATATATAATGCAGCAGAGCTTTATTATAACTATTGAACTTATTTAAAAGCAAAAGGCTAGTCATTTGAAATTCTTTTTTATTCTGTAGTTCCTGCTCAACAGAAGATATGCTGCCTACAGTAATCTGAAAGTGTTATTTTTGACTGGTTTCTAATTAGATTTCTTATTACTGGGCAATCTCTCATTGTGGTCAGTAGAGTCTGACTCAGTGGTGTACAAGAACTGTTGCTGTTTGCAATCCTGTTTTTCTATTTAAGATTTTATCATAATTCTGGTGTGCTTATAGGTGCTCAGTTTGATTGTGCTATGTTGTTCAAAGGAAACCAAAATGTTCTTTTTCTTTTAATTGGCATAACATCTTTTGCTAATGTCAGTTCATTCGAGAATTTGTCTGAAATTTTTGTGACTTTTCAAAGTTTCTGAATTTTCCTCTGCAGCTATACCTTGGAGTGTAATTATAATACAGGCCGTTGTGTGAATTCAGTTCCTCCTGCATGCCATGATAATGGACGAGCAAGTCCACCACCAATACCTACTTTTCCACCTAAATATACTACGGAAATCTTTGAACAAGTATGTAAAGTTGTAAATATATAATGTGCCATGTATGTAGTGTTTTGAATTTGTGATGCATACATGAGATCTCTCCTCTGAATTAGTATTTCACCTTTTAAATTAATTCAGTTTTTCCATTCTTCCTACCCAAGTTGATAATTTAACATTTTCCCAATCCTCCCAGTATAAACAGTCTATTGTCATCCTTTGAAATAGTCCATGTATCTAGGTAGCCTACTTGTGTCATTTCTATAACTTACTTTTCCTCTTAGCTTTCTATCACTAGAAAACCTGGATGTATCACTTCCCTCATCTAAGTCATTAATATAAATTGTAAATCCCTGAGGACCGAACATGACTAAATATCATCCCAAAAATGAGTTGTTTGTTCCTATTGTACTTTTGTCTGTTAACCAGACTTCATTCTATTCCGTATATTACCCATGTGCTGTCATCTTTTGCAACAAACTATTGTAGAGTACCTGATCTCATCCCTTCTGAAAGTCCAAATATACCACATCCACTCATTCCGCCTTTGCCTCCCCTGCTTTTTGTACCTTCTAAAAAGTCTAATAGGTTAGCTAAACATTATATCCTTCTCATTAGGCTTTGCCTAATAATGTTGTAATTTTCAACATGACCTGTTGCTTTGTAATCTAAGTTCTTATAGATTTGACCTGCTCTTATTTTTGGCCACCTAACTGATCATTCCCTCTTTCCTTCCTATCTTGAAAAAAAAGGTGATCTTTTCTCTGTCTCATTCCACTGGGCGTCTTCTAGCATCTAGGGAATTCTGGAGCCTCAAATACAATAATCTACAATCACTGTAATCACCTCTTTCAAAACTCAAAGCTGAAGGCCACTAGGCCTGGGGGAGTTTTAATCCCAATAATTTCTCAGGCATTTGTTCTTCACTAAGGTTAAGAACTTGTAAGTTCCCCGCAATGTCTCTCTTGCTTTCTATTGTGAGCACAGAAGTAAATATTTGACATTTCTTCCATTTTTCTCATCATCTGTTGAAATCTTTTGTGCCAGTGCCTCTAATATTTTCAATGACCTCTTCCTTTTAACATAATTCCTTAAAGCTCTTAAAATCCATTAGACCGTAAGATGTAGGAGCAGAATTAGGCTATTTGGCTAATGGAGTCTGCTGATATGTTTCTCAACCCTGTTCTCCTGCCTTGATCCCCTCGCTATTCAAGAACCTATCTATCTCACTTAAATATACTCTAAGACTTGGCCACCACAGCCTTCTGTGGCAATAATGTCTACAGACCCACCACCCTCTGGCTGAAGAAATTCCTCCTCACATCAGTTCTAAAGCGTCGTCCCTTCACTTTGACACTGTGCCCTCAGGTCCTAATCTCTCCTACTAGTGGATACATCTTCTCTCTGTTCATTCTATCTAAGCCTCTTAGTATTCTATAAATTTCAATGCCTTCCCCACTCCTTTCATCCGTCTAAAATTCATCGAGTACAGACCCAGAGTCCTCAACCGCTCCTCATACAACAAGCCCTTCCTCCCCATGATCATTCTTGTAAACCTTCTCTGGACCTCCTCCAAGACCAGCATGTCCATCCTTGGATACAGGGCCCAAAACAGCTCACATCATTCCATACGTGGTCTGACCAAAGCCTTTATACAGCCTCAGAACTGCATCCATACTCTTATATTCTAGTTCCCTTGAAATGAATGCTAACATTGCATTTGCCTTCCTAACTGCCAAATGAACTTGCATGTTAACCTTAAGAGAGTCCTGACTAGGTCTCCCAAGTCCTTTGTGCTTCAGATTTCCAAAGCTTTTCCTCATTTAGAAAATGGTCTACGCCTCTCTTCTTTCTACCAAAGTGCATAACCTCGCACTTTCCCACATTATATTTCGTCTGCCACTTTTTGTCCACTCCCTAGCCTGTCCAAGTCCTTCTGCAGCCTCCCCTCTTCCTCAATACTACCTGTCTCTCCACCTATCTTTATGTCATCTGCAAACTTAAGTGTTCTCAGTTCCTTTGTCCAGATATTTATTGTATAATGTGAATAATTGTGGTCCCACTACTGACCCTTTGAGAACTCCACTGGTCACCAGCTACCATCCTGAAAAATACTTCTTTATCCTCACTCTGTACCTTCTGCTAGTTAGTCAATCCATTTTCAAAATTTCTTATTTTTTATTTTGTTCTGTTTTCTCTCATGTTTGTTTGTTTCGTCATATGCAACTGCACAAAACTGAGCTATATTTCTGAACTTAAAAGTGTAGTCCATCAGGAAGAATGTGAGCCTGAGAAAGGTGACTGTTCCAGGCAGTGGAGGCCTGCAAGTCAAAGCGTCCCCGTACATGGATGACATTGCTTTTTTTTTTGCTGGGATCTGTTGTCAGTGTACAGACTCATGACCATCTGTGACCAGTGCGAATGGGCCTCAGAAGCCAAGGTAAATTAAAGCAAGAACAGGGCCATGTTCTTTGGGAACTGGACCAATTGATCCTTTATCCCCCTTCACCGTCAGAACAGATGACCTGAAGGTGCTGGGAATATGGTTTGGAGGAAGCAGGGTGTGCACAAAAACTTGGTTGGAGCGCTTCACTAAGATGAGGCGGAAACTGGGCTTTTGGTAGCACAGCACGCTCTCTACTATGGGTATGTGGTACTCTGTTGTTGAACATGAATCAGGTCTGGCCCATTCCCAGAACCTGCGACATTGTAGTCACCTGAGCCATCATCTTCATCTAGTGGTCTAAGCTCAACCGTGTCTGCAGGGACACCATGTACAAAGCTCTGGATAAGGGGTGGGGGAAGAACGTACCCAACACTGCCGTCGTCCTGATGGCTACCTTTGTGTGTGGCTACATCACTATGAGTAGACCCTTGGTTCGCAAACACCAAATGTAAGTACGTACTGAGATTCTACTTGTCCCTGGTGTTGCAAAGGATGGGACTGGTCTCGGTGCTATGGAACACTCCAAGTAGTTAGACCATTCCGTATCACCTGTCTTTCATGCAGAAATTTGCAAAGAAAAACCACAAGCCCATCAGGAAGTGGTCAGCACATGGTGACTTCGAGGCTCTGTGAGAAAGGGAGAGGGTGGATCCTGTCGTGTGGTTCCCTGAGCAGACAGTCAAAGTCATTTGGCAGAATGCCTCCACCAGAACTTGTCAACAAGCACCAAGACATGCTTGGCTGGTGGCGAGAAGGGTACTACCTGTGAGATCCGTCATCCATGCCTAGATTGTCTGCACCACTGCATGCTGCCCTCGAAGCAGCTGCAGGGGCGTAGAGACTGTCATGCATCTCTTTCTGGAATGTGCCTTTGCAGAGTAAGTCTGGAGAGATATGCAGTGATTTTTGTCAAAGTTTGTTCCAGGGTGCTCCAGTTTCCTCCCACACTCCCAAGGATGTGTAGGTTAGGGTGGATTGGGCAATTTATCATGGCCAAAGTGTCCAGGGATGTGCAGGCTAGCTGGGTTAGCCATGGGAAATACAGGTTTACAGGGATAGGATAGGGGGGTAGTGGATTGGATGGGATGCTTTTCGGAATGGAAAGGTTAGCCTGTAACTACATCTCAATGGACCGAATGGCCTGCTTCTTCACTGTAGGGATTCTATGATTCTGTAATGGTGCTGAGGACCTCACTAAAGCTTGGGGCAGCTGCCACCAAGGCACAGTGGGGAAGACCACAGTCTAAAGTCTTTCTGCTGAAGTATAACGAGGGTCTATTCAGTTATCAGACACTCTCGTTACTCAATGTATGTAAATAGTGTCCTGGGTGAGTAAGTAATGCCCTTGGTTTTTGCAATTGCAGAGAATGTTGAATTCTATTGTTTGTTTTTCTTGATGCACAAAGACTCTTTAGAACTGCTTTAGTACCTGTGTATGTATGTACAGTTTTTTAAAATATTTTTACAAGTAAAAGTTATGGTTATATCATTATGAAGCAGTTATAGGATTGTGATGAAGTTTTTTGGATATACAAATCCTTTGGAAACAACCGATCAAAGCCTTATGATTTACTGAATCATATGCTTTTGTTTGTTCACTGAATGCAGCGAAGAATTCTGGTGCTGTTCTTCACACTTTTCTTGAATTTACTTGTTTGCAAAGGCCATAGAAGCCTGAACACAACTTTGTTTAACATGGGGACTCTGGGGCTGTTGTCATTGTCTACATAATCTTGTCACAATGGCTGGCCCCACCTTTCTCTTCAGCCTTCCAGCATGTGGTGAGACACACAGTCTTGTTTTGCTGTTGGTGACGGTTTTGGTTTTTGGAAAGGTTAGCCTGCGACTACATCTCATTTAGACCTACTGTATTATTCTCCTTTTATTTATTTTTGCTATTATTTCATCTGCAGTCATTCCTCCGTATGCGTGAGGGTTCTGTTTCTGAGAACTCCAGCAAAAGATGAAATTCCCAAGTGTACACCCTGTCCAAAATAGGTTAAAAATCCCAAATACATGAATTTGCCCACATGTTGCTGCTTACTTTTTGACACAGATGGACAGGTTCATGAGTCATGAACTGGCTGATAGTGCTGTATCACACAATGCCCTGTATAGTCAGATTTGGCAGTAGTAGTTTTGACATTACTATCCTTATTTGTATAGCTTTAATCACCACAGTCCTATAACTGTTGTTAATCTCTATGGCCGCGCACCACCACCCCACCCCCCCCAAAAAAAATCGACCTATATGCTTGACTTTACTTAGATTGCTATTCTACAGCCTTGACTTTGTATCCTTATTGAACTGCTCCCCCCGCCGGGGAACTGGGGTAAATGCAGGAAAATGGAACCAGCTTTATTTGGGAACTTGGTCAGCATGGACGAGTTGGACCAAAGGCTCTCTTTCCGTGCTGTATGACTATGTTTAATTGGCTGTAAAACAGTTGGAAATGTTGGTCCTCATGGCACTTTAGTGCAAGTGTTTTTCTTACGTGGTTCATCAACTTCCAATGAGAAACATTATTCTAAACCGTACCAGCACAATTTGATTATTAACTTTTGCTTCAGTTTCCTCATGCACTTCATTTTGCAATGCACTCTGGAATGCAGTTATAAAATGAGTACATTTAAAAAACTGTCTTTGCTTTTTAACCCTTGCAATTACTCTCATTATTTAATTATATCTGATTACGTGCATTTTTTATTGATAGAAAATTAGGGATCTTGTAAATTGTGCTTAGAATGAATATTCAGTAATATTGGCTATTATCTACAAAGATAAATAACCACAATTGGATTAGAGGTCTGCATATTCTTAGACTTGCTTTCATGTTTATGGAAATTCCTTGTCTTGTCTCCAAATTATTAGGACTTCAAGGTTAATGAAAGAAATGAGGGTTTGAATTTCTGTTTTGAAAACGAGACTTAAGTATTCAGGTTTCATGTATTTACCATATTTGCAGGAATCCTGAAACCAAATGAGTCCTAGAAAGAATTGCACATTTCTTGCAATATAGTTTCAAAAATTTATGGGAAGTAAATAAAACTATGGAAGTACCCAGTGTTATGGTAGAGTGGTAGAGTAAATCTGAATATATCAGAATTTGTACAAATGACATTTAGCCTTGTTTGGAGAAGACACACTGGTAAAACTCTTGCTAGTTTTAGATTAGTTTGTGCTACTGGTCGAGAAACTTGACTCTTGAACTGTAAAATGTTGTCAAATGAATCTGGAGTTTGAATTTGTGGATTAAAGAACTGTCAAACAAATATTGACTTCTTACCTAACCATTTTATTTAGCTACCTGTTTATCAGTGTTTAATTGTTTAAAGTTAATTTAAAAATTAATACATTTTGAGTTCTTGTGCATTGCCATGCATAACAAGTGATATGGTGGCACAATGATTAACACTGCTGCGTCACGGCACCAGGGACCCAGGTTCAATTCCAGCCTTAGGCAACTGTCTGTGTGCAGTTTTCACGATCTCCTCATGTCTGCGAGGTTTCCACTGGTTGTTCTGGTTTTCCCCCCTAGTCCTAAAATGTGCAGGTTAAGTAGACTGGCCATGCTAAATTGCCCATCGTGTCCAGGGATTTGCAAGCTAGGTAAATTAGCTAATGCAGTGTTACAGGGATAGGTTGGATGCTCGTAGGAGGGTCAGTGCAGATTTGATGGGCTGAATGGCTTCTGTCTGCACTGTAGGGAATCTGTGATTCTGTGATCTAGATTGGATATTCTTGGGCTCCAGCATTATGTGATCGAGACATGGCTTAAAGACTTTGATGTCTTACATTTGATTGAAGAATCACTCACCTAGGTGGTGAATAATTTCAGAGGGCATATGTGGTAGAGCTATAGCTATGACATAAATGTAATTGTCTGATCTGTTAATTAGTTTTCTGTTTTCCTCATTCCCTTTAGGTGGGGAGAGCTTTAGCCATTGCAGCCTTAGATATGGCTGATTGTAATCCTTGGCCAAGAGTTGTTTTGTCAGAATACAGTTGTCTATCTAAACTTCGCGCATGGATGTTGAAGCATATTCGAAATACAAGAAGCACAGTAATGTCAAAAAAAAATGTCACGAGGATTTCTAAAACTCCCAAGTAAGTCACAGTAAATAAAAGGTAATTCCTTTCAAGTGAAAGCATTGATAAGATGCCACATCAAAAGTTATTGTGGAAAACCAAAGCACGTGGTTTAGGGAGTAACATACTGACATGGATAAAAGATTGACTTGCCAGCAGGAAGTGTTGACCTAAATTGGTCATTTTCTGGTATGCAAGATGTAACAAGTGATTGTTATGAAGGTATGATTGCTAAATTTGCTGATGATACAAAGATAGGCAGAAAAGTTTTAAAAAGGATGCAAGGATTCCAGAAGGGACATAGACAGGATAAGTGAGTGGATAAAGATCTGGAAAATAGAATATAATGTGTGAAAATGTGAAATTTGTCAATTTTGGCAAGAAGAATATAAATTGTGAGAACTTGCGGAACTCTGAGGTGCAGAGAGATCTGCACGAATCACAAAAGATTAATATGTGAGTGCAGCAAATAATTTGGAAAGCTAATGAAATGTTATTGTTTATTGCAGGGAACACTGAATGCAAGTATAGAGAAGTTGTGTTTCAATTACAAAGGGCATTGGCGAGACCAATTTACTGTTGGCTGTAATCCTCTAATATGAAGGGCTGTTGTTAATAGTGTCCCTACCTCTGAGCCAGGAGGCCTGAGTTCAAATCCCACGTACTCCAGAGGTGTGCCATAACATTTGCAGTTTTTCAATTAAGGAATTACACGTCGAACTTTCTTTTTCTGGAGATAGTTTTATGGCAGGTTTTCCATTTTCCAGAAGATCTTGATTTGTAATCAGTTTTCTCTCAGGCTGGTTCAATATTTTGTGGGCAACACCTCCAAGAAACCGTCCTTATTTTTTATGTTACTGCAAGTTCCTGGATATTACTTCAGAGTTCTGATGTTCCTTTCCTTTGATAGAGGGGGGATTTCATTTCTCTGTTTACATAATTAATTTCGGATTTAGTTGAGAAGCCTCATTCCCAGAGAAATCTGAAAGTCTTGTTTCAAGCTGTACTCTCCAAGTGATGCATTTCAGCGTCTGGATGCTTAACCTTGATTAGCCTTTTAATGGGTGTGTAATCCATCCCAGCTATTAGATGTTCCTTTTAATCTTCCTTGAGAATTTCTGTTTTCAGGTCAGGTGACTTTGGTGACCAATTTGAAAGGTTTCAGCACCTTTTTTACTTCTCCTATCCTTGTCGTCGAAAACTTTATAATAAATCGACGAGATTTTAAATAGTGTTGAATAGTCCATTTTTGATATATCATGATGTGCACATATAAACATCTAAATAGTGTATTGTGGTAGTGTCACTACGACTGGGTTACGAAGGTATCTTAACATGTCCAAAACAAAGTTAATTTTTAAAAAATTTTTAAAGTTTTTAAATTTTAATTTTTTAATTAATGTACAATACTTGAAGGAGAACAGATTGCAGGAATGTGAAAAGAACGGGAATGGGACTAACTGATTTGCTCTGAAAGTGACTCAGTGGGGAAAATGGTGTCTTTCTGTGCTGTATTGTTCTTAGAGGTATGTGTCATTAGATATAGTATTTAGTACATGAGCTGAAACAGGTGATTTGAAAGAGAAGGATAGTTCTTTCAAAAGCCAGCATTGCGCCCTGCTTGATAGTTACTGAAGATGTGAGGGCGGGGGAAGATAAAAGACCAAATCAAATGTGCCAATGGACATGACAGTGGATGGCACAGTGGCTCAGTGGTTAGCACTGCTAACTCACAGTGCTCAGGACCTCAGTTCAGTTCCAACCTTGGGCAACTGTCTGTGTGGAGTTTGCATGTTCTCCTCGTGTCTGCATGAGTTTCCGCTGGGTGCTGTGATTTCCTCCCACAGTCCAAAGATGTGCAGGTTATGTGGGTTAGCCATGCTAAATTGTCTGTAGTGTCCAAAGATGTGCAGGCCAGGTGGATTAGCCATGATAAATGCAAGGTTATGGGGATAGAGTAGGGATGGGATGCTCTTCAGAGTGTTGGTGCAGAATCAATGGGCTGAATGGCCACTTTTCACACCGTAGGGATTCTATGATTTTTTGACAACACAGTAGTTGTATTCTGTTGATTTTTGGCAGAAATGTCCATTTCACTGCCAGATCCATCAAATTATGACCTATCAGTTTAATTTGGGTATTATCTTGGATTCCTGTCAATTTTAGGCAGAATTGAACAAGTTGCTCAGTTGGATTTTGCGCTTGCAAGTGTTAGAACATATTGCTGCTAATAAACTTTTCAAAATCTCCACCTAAAATGGGACAGAGTTAACAGCAACAAATATGTTCATGGTTGATTATCAAAACTGTATCATGCAGTTTGTATCTCTGCTTCAATCCTTGTTTTGAGCTTGTTTTGCAGGAAGGAGGGATTACCACACAATGACTATGCTTTATGTTTCCATAAAATGTAATGGTGTTACTTTTATTGTGGTGCAAGTAAACAGAACTTTGTAATCATGTTTTGTTTGCCTCCAAATAGGAAATTGCTTTTGGCATGCGAATAAACAATAAAGTAACGACTGAAATGACAAATAACAAAGTTTAAATTGCTACTTTATACTTCTGATAAAGTTTTGAATTGAATTTATTCAGATGAATAGTTAACCAAGTTAGGCTTTCTTGTGTTCACCTTTACACTGCAATTATGTGCAGTACTTTTGAAATGTGATCTTCAAGTAAAGAGAAGGAGAATCATACATGCTTTATTATTTAAGGTAACAGTGTGCTACTGAAGAGATATAATAATTTGCTGTTTAATGAAGTGATGTTCATGTACTTTATATCAGATGCTTTGATGTATATGTTCTCTTTTAAATATAGTGTGATAACATCCTCCGTCTCAGAAAATTCTCTCAGTAAGATGAAGAGTAATGGGAATGGTGTCTCTGGAATCAGCAATGGGCATCAAAATCCACCTCTGATTAAAGCATCTTCCAGTTTTACATTTGGCTACAACCCTGGAACAAGCAAAGGAGTTTGTGTACCAGGATCAAATCATAATCCTCCAAAAGGTGTTCACAAAACCCTCGGACCAGTGAGAGGTAAGATATCTATTGGTATGTATCGTAAACCATAACTGAGCCTTACCTGCAAAAGCAGAATACTGCAGATGCTACAAAGCTGAAATAAATCCGAAAATGCTAGAAATAATGTGCAAGTCACAGGTCTGAAACACTAACTCTCCTCTTCCCTTCATGGAGGGATACTGTATGATGTGCTTCCAGCATTTTCTGTTTTTATTGTTAAGATATATCTGCTTTGTTGAGCCCTTGTATATGTAGCTTAACTGCTGTTGAAGGTTTCCTGGATTTTATTACTACTTTTATTTTGTTACTTCTTCCTTGCCTTAGGGACAGATATAAAGTATCATGCATAAAAACATATAATCCTCACAGCCACAAGGGTGGCTCAGTGGTTAGTACTACTGCCTCACAGCGCCAGGGATCCAGGTTCAATTCCACTCTCGAGTGACTGTCTGTGTGGAATTTGCACATTCTCCCCTGTATCTGCATGGGTTTCCTTCGGGTGCTCTGGTTTCCTCCCACAGTCCAAAGATGTGCAGGTTAGGTGGATTGGCCATAGTGTCCAGGGATGTGTCAACTAGGTAGATTAGCTGTGAGAAATGTGGGGTTACAGGGCTGGGTAGCGGGTGCTGGGGTCGGGGTGGGATGCTTGTCGGAGGGTAGGCGCAGACTTGATGAGCACCTGCTTCTACGCTGCAGAAATTCTATAACTTTCTAAATTCTAAAATTTTGTAAATTATTCAGCAATGATAGCATTAGATTATTTTTAGTACATTCAAAGTCCGGTGATCAGAACAATAAATCAACAACGTAATAATGACAATTCATAATGGTAGTCATAAATTTAAGAAAAAAAATCCATCCTCTTCCGTTCATCCCATTTATACTATTTTATTGTTTCTCCAGCTACATTACTGGCCTGCAACCTGCACCATCACAGCCAAACCTTATTCTTTAAAATCCTCTGTGGCCTCCAGTTTCCCAGTTCAATTGCATTAACATTAAGAAAAAAATTATTAAAAATTAATTCAAGAAAAATAAAAATTGTGTTCTTATTGGAAGAAATCAAAGTTGATCATTGTGTTATACTTTGTTTTCGTCTGAATTTTCCAGAAATGTCACCATGTTCTGAATAAAACAGTTCAAGTGGTTGAGTAACACCTGGGTTCTGAGAATGGCTTTGCCTTTGTTTTGAGGAACAGGTTTATTGTTGTAACCATTACTTACAATATAGCTGAGACAAGTTATTTTGAATGTGTTATTATGGTTTTTAATCAATAGTTGAAGAAGCATATTTTAATTCTATGCATTTTAAATTAAATTTTGTTTTAAAAATGAATTTAAAGGAAAAAGCATGATAATTTAACATCATGCATGTTGTTGGTATGATGAGCAAAGATGACCACTGGTTGTTTGTGCATGAGCAGATAGCAGTGCTGATGTCACTTCCATGACAGAGTCTTCTGGCTTCCTAAGGCTTGCTATTCCACCCCTGTCTCCTGGATAAATATGAGGTGTTGCATTTTGGTACAATAATCAGGGATATGACTTATACAATTAATGGTAGGGCCTTGGGTACAGTTGTAGAACAGAGGGACCTAGATTCATGTATGTAATTCTTTGAAGTTTGCATCATGTATAGACAGGATGGTAAAAAAGGCACTTAGCACGCTTGCCTTCACTGCTCAGTCCTTTGATTATAGGAGTTTTGAAGTAACGTTGAGATTGTACAGGACATTGGTGAAGCCTTTTCTGGAGTATTGCGTCTAGTTCCAGTCACCTAGTTTTAGGAAGGATATTAAGCTGGAGTGGGTTCAGAAAAGATTACCAGGATGTTGCTGGGAATGGAGGGTTTGACTTATGAGGCAAGGCTGGGTAAGCTGGGACTTCTTTCACTGGAGTTTAGAAGATTGGGGGTGACCTTTTAAGGCGTTTAAAATCATGAGAAGTATGCATAGAGTTGATGGTAGGTGTTTTTTCCCTAGGAGGGGGGATTTTGAGACTAGGCGGCACATTTTTAAGCTGAGAGGAGAGAAATTTAAAAAAGACATGAGGGGCAAATTTTTTAGAGAGGGTGGTTCACGTGTGGAATGAAATTCCTGAGGAAGTGGTGGATGTGGGCACAATTACAACATTTAAAAGACAGTTGGATAAGAGTATGAATAGGAAAGGTTTGGCGGGATACGGGCCAGGAACAGGCAGGTGCAACTTAAGGTTCATTTGAGATTATGGTCGCCATGGACTAGTTGGACTGAAGGGTCTGTTTTTGTGCTGTATGACTGTATTCTGGTAGCCATTGCTTCCTGTCCTATGCTGCCTCCATCCCGCCCCCCCAATCCTACTGCCGACTGCATGGTTTGCCACTTAGGGCTCTTCTGAGCATGCTGTGCCACCTAGTAATGCAAAGAATGGTGGATAATCGTGAAAAGGTTAATAGAACAAATAAATGTGAGCAGGGGAGGAAGATAGCAAGAAATGTAAAAACAGTAGCATGAGTTTCTATAGATATCTAAAAAAGGGTAAATGAAGTGAGTGTTGGACCTCTGCAAGGTGATCATAGGCAGTTAATAGTTGATAATAAAGAAATGGCAGATGTAATCGATAAATGTTTTACTTCTGTTTTCACTATACAGGATTAAAAAAAAGTCCCAATAATACCTGTAAATCAGGATTTGAAGGAAAAAAGGAAACTGGTGCAATTATAATCACTAGGGAAGCAGTATTAAGCAACCTGATGGAGCTGCAGGTTTAAAAGTTTCCAGATCCTGATGGATTTCATTTTAAGATCTTAAAAGAGATAGTTAATCAGATAATAGATATGTTGATAATATTCCAAAATTCATTAGATTCTGGAAAGGTTTTATCAGACTGGAAAATAGCATATGTAACTCCTGTATTCAAGAAGGGAGGGAGAGAGGAAACTATAGGTCTGTTAGCGTAATACCTGTTATGGGGAAGATTTTAGAATTAATCATGAAGGAAGTCCTAACTGGGCATTTGAAGAAACCCAAGGTAACTAGGAAGAGTCAGCATAGTTTTATGAAAGGAAAATCATGTTTAACCAATTTATTGGAACTCTATGAAGGACAAATGTGTTCTGTAGCTAAAGCAAAGCCCATTCATTAATGTTACTTGGTGTTCCAGAAGGCATTTGGCAAGGTACCACATAAAAAGTTATTGCACAACAATAAAAGCTCGTGGTGTAGAGGATAACGTACTAGCATGGACAGAAAATTAGTTAACTGCAGAAAACAGTAGACATAAATAGGTCTTTTTCAGATTGGCAGGATGTGAGAAGTGGGGTCCCACAGGGCTCTGTGCAGGGCCTGCAATCTTACAATTTACATTAGTGACTTTGGTGAGAGGAGCAAAGGCATGGTGGTAAATTTGCAGATGATGGAAAGGTAGGAAGATTGTATTGTGAAAATGACAGAAAAAGAATGCAGACTGATATAGATAATGAGTGGGGCAAAATTTGGTAGATGGAGCATAATGTGGGTAAATGTGAACTTAAATTGAGAACGACTGAAGAATTCCAAAATGCAGAGGGATTTGGTGCATGAATCACAAAACGTTAAGAAGCAGGTCGAGCAAGTGGTTAAGAAAGCTAATGGAATTTGATTATTAAGAGTAGAATTGAACACCAAAATAAGATTTTGATTCAGTTTTTGATTGTCTTGTTCAAAGAAAGATGTAAATGTATTGGAGGTAGTTCACAAGAGGTTTTCTAAATTGGTACCTGGAATGAGCAGATTGTCTGAAGATGGAAGATTGGTTCGGCTGGTCTTGTTTTCACCAGAATTTTGAAGAGCAAGGATTGATTTAATTGAACTGTATAAGATCATGACTGGTAACATGAACAGATGTTTACTTGTGAGGAGAACACAGCTTGGGGTCAATTTTAAAATTAAGGGTTGCCTTTTAGGTTAGAAATGAGGGGTATAATTTCTCTGAAGGTTGTGCAACTTTGGAACCCTCTGGCTCAGAAATCAGTGAAGGCGGGGTCATTGAAAAATTTTAAGGGGGACATTGACAGATTCCTGTTGGCAAGGGAATCAACATTTTCGGGGACAGATGGGAATGTAGCAAATCAACCATGAACTTATTGAATGGCAGATTAGTCTTGAAGGGCCAAATGGCCTACATCCGCTCCTAATTTGTATGTTTTTACCTAGTGTTAACGTTGCCAATAAATACAACTATGATTTAAAGGTTTAACTTGCGCATTGAAATGGTGACAAGATGTGAGGACCTTTGATTACTAGTTTTATTTGAACATATGCAAGGGGAGCTGCCCACTTCCACTGATGAATTACACAAGGTTGTGGCTATGTTGCTTCACGCATTCCGGGACTGATACAGTTATTCAATTCTGTGATTCTACATGCGATCTTATCGTATTATCCAAGCACAATTCATTTTACCAAAATCATTATGTCACTTCTTATTCCATGAAGGTACAAGTTACATTTTTGCAGTATCTCTTAACCCCCTTTGTGCTGGCTAGACTGTGATAACACATTGGCCTTAACCAGTTCTAACAGCTTGTATGTGAGCTGTTTCTGAACTTTAGTGTATTTTCTCTTTTCAGCATCAATACAAAAATTATTGCATGACTTTATGCAATACAGTACAGCACAGCAATAGGCGCTTCGGCCCACCAAGCCTGCACCAATTCCTAATCCTTATTTAGATCAGCTACTTGTTGCCAATACTAACCAGATCACCTGTTTTTTTTTTTCTCCAGATCATTTATGTATATTAAACAACAAAGGTCCCAGCACTGATCCCTGCCAAATACCAGTAATTACTGATGTCCATTCCGAAAAGCACCATTCCACCAATATCTATGTTTCCTATGACCAAGACAGTTTTGTATCCATCTAGCCAGCTCACCCAGATCCCATGAGACATTATCTTTTGTACCAGCCTGCCATGAGGTACCTTGTCAAATGCCTTACTAAGTTCCATGTAGACTACATCCACTGCCCTTCCCTCATCAATCATTCTTGTCACCT